TATCTATCTATCTATCTATCTATCTATCTATCTATCTATCTATCTATCTATCTATCTATCTATCTATCTATCTATCTATCTATCTATATCATCTAGTTATTTATTTATTTCATCACAAGGCGATGCTGCATCCTGCAGTAACTTAGTAAGCAATGTTAAATAAAAATATACCACTTAAATAAGATTATTAATCTACACCTAGGTAACGAAGCATCAAAATCTGAGCTATAACAATGGGAAAGATGAAAAAGAAAGGGAAAGTGGGAGGAAACAGAAAAGGAGGAGCAGTAGCAAGGTGAACTGTCTCAATCGTAGCAGTGAAAGGTGCTTTGCTAGAGGACCTGAAGGCTAAGATGGGGACAGATCATGCTGAACAAGGTCTAGTTTGTAGCCACTAAGAGCTGACCTCAATTTGATGGCATACGGTCAATGATTCTAGGTTTAATGCAACTGGACGTTCAGTAGCTTTTGAAAGCATCTCATGTGAACCAGACCACTGCATGAAGCCATACAGATAGTCCTCAACTTATAACCGTAACAGAGGCTGCCCACTATGGTTGTAAATCATGACAATGGTGAAGCAGGTCATCACCAAACCAGACCCAATTTTACCACCTTTTCTGTCCCTCTGGTTAAGCAAATGTGAAGATCATTCAGCAAACTCAATGTTCACTATAGGGTAATTTTGCTGAAGCCCAGAAATAAAGATCCGTTTTCAGCAAAAACGTTGTAAATCGGACTCGCGACTTTAGGACACTGCCAAAAGCCCATAAAGGTGGGCTGGTTGCTGAGCACCTGAAATGTGGTCATACAATCCGGGGAGTTTGTGGGAGGGGAGGGTTGTCAGAATTTTGTAAGTACTTTTTGGGGATCCATTATAGCTTTCAAACGTCACTAAGCAACCAGTTGTAAATCAAGGACTACCTGTAATACCATTTGTTTCAACTCTTTGTGATACCCATAATACCTTTGACTAGTCAACTTGGTTTAGGACAGTGGTATGAACCACTGGTGGGATTCAAATTTCTTTTGCTACGGGTTCTGTGGGTGTGGCTTGATGGGCGTGGCGTAGCTTGGTGGGCGTGGCAGGGGAAGGACACTGTAAATAATCTCCATTCCCTCTCACTCCAGGGAAAGGTTACTGCAAAATCCCCACTTCCTCCCAATCAGCTGGGACTCAGGAGGCAGAGAATAGATGGGGGCGAGGCCAGCCAGAGGTGGTATTTACCAGTTCTCTGAACTACTCAAAATTTCCACTACCGGTTCTCCAGAACTGTTCAGAACCGGCTGAATACCATCTCTGGTATGAACCCAGCCATGATGTTGCAGAACTGAAAAGCGAAATTCTAAATGTAATTTTTTTTTTAAAAAAAAGGTTTGCTAAAAAGGTTTAATGTGAAGAGGCCAGTTTAGCTATCACGACATGGAATGAAACTTCAGGTACCTACCATGCATAGCATGCTTGGGCCCCGATAGCAGTTTCACTAAAGCCCAGAAAGCATCTTCCTCGTTCATGTACATTAGGAGCAATGCGGTTATGTGGCTCATCCCTTGACAGTATCCAACCTCCTGGCGGGGGGGGGAAAGCGGACAAAACCGTTACAAAATTGGTGTGCGCATGCAAAGAACGCTAAAACCACTGCACTCACTTTTTCTCTCGCAAGGGTAGACAGAGTGTGAATGACGAGATGCTTGGAGGAAGGATATCCCTGAGGATTAGTTCTCTGTCTGACTTTGCACAGAGAACGGAAAAGGAAAGCGAGACTGGCGGAACTAGAGCTTCTACAGGACAAGCTATCATGATCTAATGTTTTTATCCTGAAGATGTGGAGGGGCCCCTAAGGCAGTGTTTCTTAACCTGGCACGCTGGCTTGGGAATTTTGGGAGTTGAAGTCCATGTGTTTTAAACCAGCCAAGGTCAAGAAAGACGGCTCTAAGGCGGGGGGGGGGGGGCCTCCAACTTTGGCAACTTTAAGCCTGGCGGACTTCAACTCCCAGAATTCCCCAGCCAATGGCGAGCTGAAGTCCGCCAGGCTTAAAGTTGCCAAGGTTGGAGACCCCTGCTCTAAGGAAATGTGGACTGTAAAGTTAGGAAAGGACAAAGGAGTCCTTCCTTTCCCTTTTCTGCACTCTGACTTGTTGTTATTCCACATCTTTGGATTATTCCACGTAATCTTTAGCTCCTCTCCCCTGTTTAGGTGACTAGCTGAACCCTCATGGTGAAATTCTAGCTAGTACAAAAACAGCCTTCAAGACAGAACATGTGTACTTCAGAAGGAAGTCAACAGAAAACCTCTGATTAAATTTCTCTCCTTTCAAACAGATTCATTTGAACTAAGAATTTGGACCTGAAATGTGGAACTGATAGTGGGGGATGTTAGTTCACTTAATTGGTTCCTGACTCTCCGTGAATCCTTGCCACGTTTTGCAGATATCGGCCTGGCAGCTCTCCAAGCCAGATAAGGTCTGTGACTGTAAATGCTCCCTTGAAAGGCTTTGCTGGATGTGAATGAACAGAATTCAGAGTCAATTAATAAAAGGGTTTTTTGTCGGGACAAGGAGTTTGCTTCATGCTCTCGGGAAGCCTCGGTCAGAACATCTTGCTGGTGTCTTTTCAGGAACATTTGTAACTTTCCAGAATTCCACAACTATTTCTCAGTATGTGACCCAGCTCGATAACACTGCTAAAACTTATTAAGCATAACATGTAGCATTTTATTGGCTGAGTGAACTTATCCACCACTTTTTTTTTTTACAGTTTCTGATCTTAATGGTCCCAGGCAAGCATTTGCAAAACAACCTTTGATAGCATCTGGCCAAGAATCAAAAATTATTTTCTTTTTTTACCTGCTGGGCCAAACAACCCAATACAGAATTACATCTATTCAAACTCGCTGTTTTCGTGTTGCCCTTGAGAATTATATTTCCATGAATTCAATATCTTTCAAGAGTGACCTATGTGAACTGACTGTGTGTAGATGCAAAGATGCATGCACAGATCATCTTACCGTATTATAAACAGAATATGCAGCTAAGACATGGAACAGAGATTGTTGCCTGGAGGGGGGGAAAAAGACAGAAGATGTAACTATACAAAATCAAAATGTGTTTTGGAGTCAGGTTACGGGAAAAATTACTTGTGATGTAAAATGTTGCCGGCTTAATATCATATCAGTCCTATTCTGCACATCTGCATAACCCTGCACACTGAAAACAGCCTACTACTTAACAAAGATTGGCTGTCTATCTATTATGTATGTGTGTGAGTTGTAAAAGCAAGAACATCAGTGTTCCGTTATATGATAAAATATTTACAAAAGCTCTCTTTGAAAGGGGGGGAAAAAAGACCACACAGTGCGTTGCCTATCTGGAAAAGAGTTCTGTTACAACAAAAGAAACTGAGCATTGAAGGAAACAGACCGTTGTAGAGAATCATGCATTTTACAAAATGTAATAGGGTATTTTGTAAAAATATGCTGAAACCTGGACACTTGGGGTACGTGTATCTAGCTTGCCCTTCCATTCATTCTCATCTACATTTTAGCCCCAATCTGAATTCTGGCTTCGGGGAGAATGCTGAATCCTCACAACTTTATTTTTTTATCCCGTCTTTATTGTTTTTACAAATAACTTAAGGCAGCAAATATATTCAACACACCTTCCTCTTCCTCATTTTCCCCACAAGAATCCTGTGAGGTGAACTGGGCTGAGAGAAAGAGTGACTGGCCCAAAGCCAACCAGCTAGCTTTGATGCCTAAGGCAGGACTAGAACTCACCATCTCCTGGTCATTGGCTCAAGGTCACTCAGCTGGTTCTCCTGCCTAAAGCAGGAGTCAAGCTGATGGTCTCCTACTTTCCAGCTTGGTGCTATAACCAGTAGATCAAATTTCTTTTGAGTTTCTTTGTCGTTTACTAACTTGGTTTCCCTATCCTTACCACAGAATTCCTTCCTCTCTTGAGCATAGATACAGTCACTCTGGCTGTGTAACAACATCTGAAGTTGAAATTATGACATCCTCCTCCTCCTCCTCCTCCTGACAAAATGTCTCGCCAGAGAAAACATACCAACTTCTAAACTCTCTGCGATCCAAGAGAGGCACCCACCGAAGAGGAAACAGTACAGGTAGTGTTTGAGTTATGACTGTAACTGAGCCCCCCATTATGGTATAAGTAGTGATGGTCGTCAAGCAAGTCACAATGTGACTGTGCCTCATTTTACAAAGTTTTTTGCAGCAGCAAAATGGCACGGTCGTTAAACGAACACATTGTTCATGATTTGGTTTTGACAGAAACTGGAAGGAAATGCCAGTTTCCAGCCAAAACGTAAGTCGTGACCATGTGTAATCACTACAATGCTACAAACCGTTGTAAAAGCAGCCAAGTGGCTGAGCACTTAAACATGTGGTCATGTGCCTGTGGAGTTGTGTGCAGATGTTAGCACTTCGAATTCAAATTGTTCTAGTGATCCACTGTAACTGCTAGTCGTAAGTTGAGGAATACCTATAACAGGGGGACATGGAAACAAGCCCACTTTTTAGTGGGCCCCTGTTAAAATATTCATGCCCGGGAGAGACATGGGAACAAGGTCAGCCAATGAATAGGCATA